GTTGCAACAGTCACCCCAGGCGCTTGTTTGGCGGCGGCGCTTGAAGCTCTCAACGCTGCCATCGGCACTGACATCTGCGGGATCGCAAAATCTGACTGGGTCCTGCACACCTAAAGCGATCTCGCAAGCATGCAAAGGCGATGCAGTGTAGTTGCAAAAGTCACCCCAGGCGCTTGTCTGGCGGCGGCGCTTGAAGCTCTCAACGCTGCCATCGGCACTGACATCTGCGGGATCGCAAAATCTGACTGGGTCCTGCACACCTAAAGCGATCTCGCAAGCATGCAAAGGCGATGCAGTGTAGTTGCAAAAGTCACCCCAGGCGCTTGTCTGGCGGCGGCGCTTGAAGCTCTCAACGCTGCCATCGGCACTGACATCTGCGAGATCGCAAAATCTGACTGGGTCCTGCACACCTAAAGCGATCTCGCAAGCATGCAAAGGCGATGCAGTGTAGTTGCAACAGTCACCCCAGGCGCTTGTGCTCTTGGAGGTGGGTCCGTGCTCTACTACGGTCTGGCGGCGGCGCTTGAAACTCTCAACGCTGCCATCGGCACTGAAACCTGCAAGCAAGGAGATGCATCCGTGCTTCACTTCGGTCTGACGGCGGCGCTTGAAACTCTCATTGCTGCCATCATTGCAACCTGCGGGATCGCAAGATCTGACTGGGTCCTGCACACCGAGCTCAATCTCAAAGGCACACAAAGACGATGCAGTGAAAATGGAACAATCACCCCGAGCGCTTGCAAGCATGGCGATGCGTCCGTGCTTCACTTCGGTCTGAGGGCGGCGCTTGAAGCTATCAACGGTTCCATCGGCGATGAAACCTGCAGGATCGCAAAATCTGACTGGGTCCTGCACACCGAAATCGATTTTACCAGCATGCAAAGACGATGCACCATAGTTGGGACAATCACCCCAGGCACTTACAAGCATGGGCATGCGTGCGTGTTTCACTTCGGTCTGACAGCGGCGCTTGAAGCTCTCAACACTGCCATCGTCAGTAAATCCTGCGGGATCGCAAAATCTGACTGGAACCTGCACACCGAACTCGATCTCAAAAACATGCAAAAACGATGCAGTGTAGTTGGGACAGTCATTCCAGGCGCTTGCAAGCATGGAGATGCGTCCGTGCTTCACTACGGTCTGGCGGCGGCGCTTGAAACTCTCAACGCTGTCATCGGCGAAAAACCCAGCGGGATCCCAAAATCTGACTGGGTCCTGCACCCCGAAAGACGAAGCAGTGTAGTTGGAACAGTCACCCCAGGTGCTTGCTAGCAAGGAGATGAGATCGTGCTTCACTTCAGAGTCAGAACCGATCTCAGGCGCCGGCCCAGGATGCGATGCCTCACCTATGCGTTGGCCAACATGTGCATCATGATTGCGGGTTTTGGCCGGGCACAAGAAACAAAGGCAGCTGCACAAGTCTAACGATAGCCACCGCGCATACGGTACGGCACTAGGGTCGAAAAGAGGCCTAAACCTTAGGGGGGAAAGGGAAACCGACTGCTCGTCATCGGCTTCCTTGCAGCAGCTTCCTTCCACAAAAGGCCTTTGCCTAACGACACACCCGCACAGAGAAGGCCTAAACCCGGGAAGGGGAGGGGAAACCCTGTGCAAGTTAGCCAGGCAATTGCAGTCATTCTCACAAACACCGGCACTAAGCTCAAGCTCTCCGGTCGAAGTGCCACAACCTGTTAAGTCGTGACTGCCCTCGTCGACGAACGTCTCCCATACCATGGCGTCGCACACGGAGACTTCACTACACGGGGGCCCAAGCTCGGGGCCGGTCGGGAGTCGAGGTGGGTGACGGGGCTCAGGAGATTGGCCATCGTGGCTCTTTGCCCATTCACGGGTCTTCTCACTTTCTTGGGGTCTTTGGGTCCCCTCCCCGTTATTGATTTTTCTTGTTTCGCAAATCACAAAACTAGCACCACGGTCCTGAGAAACAACACGCAGGTCAGCCCCAACAAAGGCTGCAGCCCACGGTTCAGAAGGACCATCGGCAACATATGCCGCATGCTGTGCGTCAGCTTCAGAAGCAAGCTTAGCATAGTATCGGAAATCCTCATCCAAAGTTTCCTCGAAACAGTTTAGCTGTGCTCGCCCTGAAGCGAGGTCATCGTCACAATCTGCCTGTGTAGCACCCTGTAGTGGATCTTCTGGCAGACCAAAACGCATGAGCAAAAATTGCAAGGAACGAAAATCGTGCTCTGAGGTACCATCATGACCATCAAAATTGGTTTGTGCAGCATAATACCAGAACTCCGCATCGAGGGAGGCTTCGAAAAGGTCCGGAGTCAGGCGTTCAACAGTAAGATTTGTAGCAGGCTGTGCGCTGCTCACGTTGCCACCACCAGGTGATTCCTCGAGAGGGAAATTCTCCGGCAAACCAAATTGCATGAGCACAGTCGGCAGAGAATGAAAATCACGCTCTGAGGCATCTCCAGGACCATCGCTTATGCACTCAGCTCGCTGAAAGTTCACAGGAAGGAAGGCAGTGGTGACTTGCTCGGCTGTCGGGCCGCTCACTGCCTGCACCATGTCGTCGATGAAAATGTCGTCGCATTGATCGTTGTCTCCCGTGGGACGGCCAAGGCCTTCCCGCTTCAGCTCATAGCGATCTTCTGGCTCCTGTGCCCACTTCGGCAAAATGCCAAAGGAGCCCTCACAGAACCAAAGCATGCTAGGCATCACACCCCTAGCCTGCATGTAGTGAAGATCGCTTTCCGCCTTGCGCAGGCGTCGCTCTCTGTAACTCACGATGAAGCCCACCAAGCTTTGAATGGTTCGCATGTCCCCACTTACACCAGAAAGGTGATCCCTGACACGACTGACATTCAACTTGGAGGTTCCAGAGGGCACGAGAGGTAGGCTCGGGCCGCTGTAACATTCAAGGTGGGCCGCCATGGCCCGAAGCTTCTTTCTGATATGATATTTGTAGGTGGACATTCCACCTGAAGAGGGAGCCATGGCTGGATCCCTCCCGGCTCTGCCAGCAGTCTTTGCCGCCACTACCTATGGCGTTGCCCACCTTGGAGCGCGTGGAGCTACCTGCTGAAGCCAAGGTGCCTGTTTTCACCTTGGTAGTTTTGGGTGCAGAGGCTCGCCCCAGCAAGTCCTCAACACCAGCAGGTCGCCTCGGGTGAGAATCACCAGAAGCCAAGAGCGATCGCGAAAGCTGTACAGCAAGCGAAAGGCCACAAGGCTTCAGAAACATATGCACACCTGGAAGAGCGTGAGCTTGCCGAAGTCCCACTCAACGACTCTCCTCTTGTGAACCAGTGAAACAGGGCTCCTAGTCGTGACACGGCCATCACGAGTCTGCGAACTACTCAACGCGACAGGCAAGGCGCCTGATCGCGTGTCTGCGGCCTACCCTACCCTACCCTACCCTAGGCAGGAGCTCAGGTCTGTCGCGGGCTCAACACAAGAGTGAAGGTCCAGCGACCGCAGTGGCACTTTGGTGTTCGGCTGTTGCAGGCCTGAGCACAAGAGCACATGCCCAGCAGCTGCAGCGGCACTCAAGAGAGTGTCAGTTTCGCACAAAAGCTGTCAAGTTGCAAGAAAGCAACGACACCTGTGGGTCGCCGATGAGGGGCATCCGTTCGTGGCCTCAGCGCCGAGGCAAAGAAGGGCGCCAAGACAGGCACGACCCAGCAGGGTACAGAACACTGTTGTAAAAAGCAGGTCCGGCGCACACGACATCAGGTATCGGTGCAGCCGCGCAAAAGGCAGTAGTAGCACAAGAGAGGGGCACAATCTTAAGACCTCGCCGCTGAGGCCGAAGAAGGGCGCAACTCTGCAAGGCACGTATCACTGGCAGTCGTGAAAGCAGGCGCACACGAAGGCAGGCTTCGGTGCAGCCACGCAAGCGTCAGTAGCACAAGAGGGAAGCACAAGCTTGAGACCTCGCCATTGAGGCCGAAGACAGGCGCAAACTCCACAAGGCACGTATCACTGGCAGTCGTGAAAACAGGTTGAGTCCACGCAAGAGTCACGGCTTTGGCATTACGGGTTTCGGGGACTAAGGCAAACCTCAACCCAAAGAGCCCGGGCAACCAGAGGACTAGCCTACACCATCTTGGTCTGCGGCGGCCGGCTCCATGGCCCGGCGGTAATGGGCATCCAAAGCACCAGCTGCAGTAGCCGAGTGTGTGATGGCAGCCATTTCCCATTCTTTTGCAGCCTGCCACCGGGACCACCACTGGACCCTCCGACACCTGGCAGCATGAGCTTCACGAGCGGTTTCAGCCGCCCTGTCCGCTTGATCATTCAAGGCGCGGCACTCTGCAACCGAGAAACTCCAGCTCGCCGGAGGCTTCCAACTTTGTTGTTTGCCATGCGAGGGTATCCAAGCAAGGTCAATTTGGTGACCCAGGGCCCTGGCAGACTGCAGATTTCGCGAGACTTCTGCAGCGAGCAGAGGCAGCGCACACTGAAGAGGGTTCTCAAGAGCATCAAGGGCCCCTTGGCAGTCTGACAACACACAGAAGCGGCGCCCAGCGATGACAGTCACCTGAAGGAAAGCAGCCGATACAAGTCGCAGGGCTTTGAGTTCACAAGTGAAAGGCATCTGGTCCTCATTGCTGTCGGTGGCTACGAAGTCAGCATCACCATGCACCACCGCCGCCGAGCCCACCTGATGCTTGCTAGAGCCATCAGTCGCGAGGAGGACATCGCCACACCCATCCTCTGGGGCCGAAAGGGTGACGTCGTCCAGTCGGCGTGCAAGGGCGGACGCCGCACCTCTCCAGGGGTCCCCACCAACGGCCGGCGGAAACTCCGGGACCTCAGCAGCGAACAGTCGCTAAACCTTATAAAATTCGCTCTTTCAAAAGTGGACGAATATATGCCCGTCGGAGATAAATATATAAAAGAGAATATAGAGTCAATCATTCAGGCACTCGGACGAAGACTCTTTTTCCCGGATGGTGGTGGATGTCCCCTCGTCGGAGGGAAGGCAGGCACACCTGGTGTGCGAAGCCTCGCCCCCTCTCCCTGAGTCACCAGGGCGTGCCTTCGCGCTTCCTCTTCGGGACACGAGGCTGAAAACTGCTTGCAGACTGCAGCGCCTTGCGAGACGCATCGAAGTCGGACTTCGACGACCACAACTGATTCAAGAGCTCGAGTGGTAGCTCACTGAAACTGACATCCAAGCGGTGTTCGGAACTGAAAGAGCTGAAATCCTGATTCGTCAGAGCATCTGCCAGCTTGTTTTCGTCGCGAGGTTTCCAAGTCAAGCTGAGTCTCAAACAAGCTTTTCTTAAGAGGTGTGAGAGCTGCATGTTGATCAGCATGAGCGGCCACTTAGTCGTGGATTGTTTCCTAAGAAGCTTCTCGTTGCTCTGATTGTCTGTGGCCCCGGCAATGGCAACTGGGAGTCGCCTCTGCGAACTACTCTCTTTGAGGTGTCCAAAGATCCATAACGCGGCCAATGTAGCTAACAGCTCGGCTGAAGCTGACGCCCATTGTGATTTTCCATCTTCGTCGAAAAGGTACGGGGCATCCGCAGGCTTAACCACTATAGAGAACCAAGGTGCAACCGAAAGGTCCTGGCTAGAGTCCCAACCTCCTAAGACAACATAACCATCGGCGCATTTAGCGTCCGTGTGAAAGAGATGCCCTGTCTCTTCCCGTTGTCGACCCGGTGCGACTTTGAAGTTGATGTCTTTAAGCGTTGCCTCCAAGTAAAGCAAAGTCAAGATGACCGTGTCCGGCATTTTTGCAACGTGGCTCTTCGAAGCTGCAGCTGACCAAGCATACAAGGGGGCCAAGTGTGGTTTGATCCAGTACACGACCCTGGACACGAAACCAAGCCTCCCAAGAAACTCCGCAAACTTTCTAACTGAAACGACAAAACGCGCTTTCCGTGCCTCATCGACCCAGTTGCACACCCAAGCGCCTCGACCAGCGTCTTTCCCTTGAACTTATGGTAAGCAAAAGGCACCCCTATCAAGTCTTGAAGGATTAACCAAACCAAGAAGTTGATGAACATCCGCTTCCCATAAAATGTGGGATGCACGTCGTCCACATAAGCGAAGTGGTAAAAGGCGTGCTGCAGTAGGCAACGGGTGACCACTCTGCCTATGATTCCATACAACCTGCTCCACCAAAACGAGGCTGGGCTGAGCCCGAACGTTCCTACTTTATTGATCCAAATCGTGTCGGACCCTTGCTCTGCTCTGCATGACATCAAGGCCCAATCGCTCTTCCGATGCAAGACCAACCTATGTGCAGCACTCACGTCCGCGGTTGCGGCCAAGGGAATCTCCTGCATAGCACCTGATTGCCGAACTGAAAATGACATCTCAGCCGGACCTGGAACCGCTAGCTGATTCACCAAGCGTATCTGATTGTTGACATTGACGCCGTGTGTACCATCATGTAATGGCCGCACACTGCCATCTGGTTTAAGGATGGCTCCCATGGAAGCCACGCGGATCATGTCCTCACTGTACTCTTCGCGCAGCGCTCCGAGCGTTGTCGGTTTCATCCGCCCCAGTTTTTCCTCTGCACGAAACTTTTCGAGGAGCTCGGCGGAGCTCAACTCGGCACTCTTATAATTTTCCCGATCAAACTCCAACTCGGATTCATCAAGTTTCCGCCAATGACATTTCTTCTCATACACCTGCGGCAAGTGCGGTATGTCACAATTAAGTCCTAGGGGTACCCCGGTGCAGAAAGTCGACTCCCTCCGTTAAAATCTGCCAGTCTGGGTCCTCAAGCCTTTCAGCCGAAAGCGACAAGGCCCTAAGCAAGAAGGGCTGCGCATCTGGGATCTCGAGCACGTCGGGATTGTTCTCTGCACCAAGCACCTCTGCCCACTGCTTACGCAGAGCTTCCAACTTCTCCCCGGCGAATGGAGATGATTCGACCTTACCTGAAAGTAGGCTCAAGCAGAAGCGACGGGGATCAGGAACATGCTCTGAAATGAAGTTCGTAAGCATCCGGTACATGGATTGCGCATGTGCAGTAGCCGCTGGGCCCAGGCGATGTCCCCGGTCCATCGGCCTCCACCGCGCCGGGGAACACAACCCAAACCCGTCTGTCATGTCAGCCTCTTGTCCTTCCCACTCAACACGAATGGGGTTGCCGCGGTTCCCACATGCCTCTGGTCTGAATGGCACTGGCGGTGCTGTGTCTCCTGTGCTTAGGCCCTCGGCCTTATCCAGAACCTCTGAAGTCTCACCATTTGATGCATCCGAGTCAAGTGGTAACTTAAACCCCAGGGCCTTAAGGTGGGCGAGGTCGGCGGCCTCGACATTGCCAAGCTTATCGGTCATGTATGCAACCATCACCACCCGACGTCCCTTCCACAGTCGCGTAGCATGGTATGACCGCCATGCATCGAAGCTTACAGGGCCCTTGCAAACCTCCAAGTGGACGCCAGGTTTATTCTCTGCGTCTTGTTTATAAATGAGATATATAGAAAAATCAATCACAAATATATTTGCGAATTGATAGTCAAATGCGGCAGGCAACACTCGGACACAGTCTTCATTTTAACTCGCAGTGGGAGCTGACAGATCGGTACCTTGCGAGGCCCAACGGCAGGGTTAGGCCACAAAAACACAAGGGGTGAAACTGGGAAAAGGAAAAAGGCGAAAAGCCAAAGGGTGAGGAGGGCGGGCGAAAAGCAAAACTGGAGCCGAAAAGGCGACTGGAAAAAGAGCTTGGGAAAAGTTCGGCATGAAAGAAGGTTGGAAAACAACCAAGGTTGGAAAAACCAAGTTGTTGAAAAACAAGACTTGAGAATAAAAATCCGTCCTCCTTCGGAGGAAGTTCTTCTTATTCTCTGCGTCTTGTTTATAAATGAGATATATAGAAAAATCAATCACAAATATATTTGCGAATTGATAGTCAAATGCGGCAGGCAACACTCGGACACAGTCTTCATTTTAACTCGCAGTGGGAGCTGACAGATCGGTACCTTGCGAGGCCCCCCCTTGAAGAGAACCGCACAGATCGGTCAGCAAGGATTGCACATTGAAGCGCCGCCTGGAAAAGGCGGGAAAACTGTGGTCGCCCCGCGAAGGGGCATCTGCAGGATTGCTTTCACTGCGAACACGCTCAAACCAGATCGCAAGATCACGCTCTTCTTCAGCCTGAAAGAGGCGGGAGAGAAGAGACTGCACGAAAGGGCAATCGGACTGTCCTCGGATGAAAGCCGCCAGTGAAGCTTCGTTGTCAACGAAGAGCACAATGTCGCAGTGGCGTAGGTTAGGGATTAGGGTGGCACCCAAAACCGCGGCAAGGGTTTCTAGCTCGTAGATCAAGGTAAGTTTACCATCGGGGTTGATGATCTCAAGGTCCTTGGAGGTGACTACTTCGCTAAACCAGGCAAGGCACAGACCTTTAAAGTCGTAAACCAAACCACCAAGGCCACCCCCTTGATCGTCGTAGGAAGCGTCAGTGTACACGTGGTACACTTGTCGCAGACTCGAGTCTACACACCTTGGTTTGCCAAGAACTACACGGTCCCGCAAGAAAGTCAAGGAGGCCCTTAAGCTAGCACCAACCACAAGTCTACCGTGCTTTTGACAGAAGTGCGAAAGGTTGCGCATGTGAAGCGAAGCTGATCGTCCAAAGATTTGACTCTCGGCAAACAGGAGTCGTCCGCGTAAAGAGAGAAGCTCATTTTGGCCAACAAAGCCTCGAGTCAGGACCTCATCGATGGATGAGCAAAGTTCGCGTTTGCGGGCTTCGGTATTCTGGACTGAGATCAATCCATTCTTAGAATCAGCCAAGGATATTTGCACTCCTAAGACTTTGGCTACTGCATCAAAACCACTGTCTTTTTCGGAGGACGTTTCCCAGGCAACGATCCTGAAAAATGTTGACTGGACTAAGTCAAGATGTTTTTGCTCGTCGGACGAGCAGGGTAAGACAAAATCGTCAAAATACAGAGACCAAGGCAGGATCAGGCTCCGGACTCCGATCCACCAAAGGCCGAAAGCAGTTCTGTAGAACCCCTGAACGGCTGGCTTGCTGCCGAAGGGCAGCACAACTGTCTGGTATATCTCAATTTCCATGCTGTGAGGGTTAAGCACAGCTATGAAAGAATCATACAAAGCTTCAGTGCTTAAAGGAAGTTGCTTATAGGCTTTTCTAAGGTCTATCGTCCGAAGAACAAGCTGCTCACGCTTGCCAAGCTTCCGAGCCGACCTGATGCGAAGACACAGTGCAGCGACCACAACGTCCACCCCGTGAGGGCAGATCGTCTCGCTAGCACTGTTCGTGAGATTAGCAAGAGATTCCGTGTAATCGTCTATTGGTCTCACCTTCTTGATTGACCCTAGCTTGGCATCGGTGGAGGATTGCACTATCCCAAACCTTCTAGTGACTATGGCATCCGGGGGGATGTCCGACTCCTTAAAAGGTCCCTTAAGCCACCCTTTCGCAAGCTCATCTTTCGTAAGTTGGTAGACACTTTCAGCCACCTCGCGGTCGAGACCTTCTCTGGTAGAGGTCAGGATGGCCTTCCTGGCAAGGGGAGTGGCTGCACGAACGTCTTCAACGGTAAGCGAGGCGGCGGAAACCTTAGAGGGAAGAACTCCAGATGCGGGTATGGGGCCTAGAAGGTTAAACCCAGTTGAGATGTCCTTGGTCAAGGTTGTGTCCGGGTACTCGGCCTCGGTCAAAAGAGATTTGAAGACTTTCATGGATTTCTTACCAAGAACTGCGGCACAGTGGTCGGGCATGTCGGAGGGATCTGCACGGGATGCTGCCTCCTCGGAGGTAAGCATCCACCTCCTCAACGTAGCAGTGCGTTCCTTGGCAAGGTCGGCAGGCGACTCCTGGGCGCATCGCACAATGGTCTCCTTTAAAATCTTTGGCACACCGTTTTCAATACGCTTGGGGTGTAGGGCTCCGCGAGCCTGTTTGACGAATTCTTCTGGGGTCCACGCGATACCATAAGTTCGCTCCTCATGCGGGATTGTTGCAAGAGAATGGTCATCACCAGACTTCGGACAGGAGTCAAGCAGGGCACTAGGCTTTAAGGAGTCATCCCCGGGGGAGGAAGGGGCTAAACCCGAACTATCAGAACCAAGATCTCGAGTAGCACTGCAGGGACCCCCAGCAGACGGCACAGTGCGAATCAGCTTGGCGGTCTTGGGTAGCTGCTTTAAGGAGGGCTTGCACAAGACTTTGGCAGGAATGGCCCAATCCTCAGAGAGTTGCTTCGGGGGCATAGCACAAGAAGGGCCAGTGACAGTGATGATGGACTTGTACTCAGAGACCAAAGGCGGAACACGTTTGCCTTTGGGTTGCTTTCCGGAGGCAACCTGAGCGGCTCGTGCCAACGGGAGCCCAAGCTCCTGAAGTTCAGCTGCAGGAAACTTAGCGCCCTGGTGTTGCAATTCAACGGCAAAGGCCCTTGCTACCATGGCACAAAGCTGACCAGGGGACGAAGACAAAGGCAACGCCGGAGTTGGTGGCTTGCATCCCCCTCCACACGGAAAGCTAAGGCTTGACATTGCAGGGAAGTTGTGAATCAGACGCCGAGGCTGACACAGCCCGTCGTGCACGAAGCAAGGACTGTAGTGGGTGGAAATTTGCGGACAGGCACCCCGGAGGTCACGAAGTTTCCAAAGATTGGAGCTGCACGGGGCATCGAGGCAGCAAAGAAGACCATTGGCACAGCACTCCTTGTAAATGCTCACCGCAAGATCACTGAAGTTGGAAGGAGGTGACATGTGCACAGCGACAACATTATCCTTCGAAAGGATGTCTCGCAAAAGCGAAATGCCGCTGTCAGTGGAAAGGTCCAGCGGGACAACAGGGGCCCGAGTGTTTCGGGGATGACGATTGATTGCAAAGCCTTGCATGCCGAGGCTGCGTACAGCCGCACACACACCACCATGCCTGGCAAAGATTTCAAGAAATGCTAAGTCACTCGAGGGACGACCAGAGAGATGCAGTTTAACCCTGTCCAAGAAGGGTTGCACAGTTGGCGGGAGAGGCTCCAGCACAGGAGCACCATCGGTACCACACTCAATGGAAGGCAAGGGCACGCCCAAGGATACAAGAGCACTGCGACAAGCCAGGGGCATCGACTCGTGTCTAGCAACCGAAAACCCGACTACCACTACTCGAGACCCCGTAAAAGGCATTGTGCAGTGTCTGTGTTTCCAAGCCTCGAAGGTGAGGTGACTGAGGGAGACTTCGTGCAGCTGTCCGTGAAGCTGGGCACCTGAAGGATCGGTCATTGGGTGAGATCCCTCTCCCTCGATCCAAATTTGGCCACCTGAGAAGGAGTTGACCCCAATCAACAGATTGGGCAGATGCGCATTGTAGCTGTCGCGGTGCAGGGCCGTCTGCGAGTCGACAAAGAGAGCAGCACTAGTACACTCGAAGGAAGGACTGATGGCTCTGATGAAAGCAAAAAGCAGAGAAGACGAAAATGGAAAGGATTTTACATTAGATCGAAGGGCTGTGATACCACCTTTGGTGTACAGACCCGTGGTCCACGATTGACCGGCACTACCTAAATCCCGAGAAGGCTGAGGAGCATCGAAGGGAAGAAGTGTGGAAAGATGCAAAACGTCCTTGCGCGAAGGAGCGGTGCCAGATGTCAATACACCCAGCGAAAATTCCTCGGCCGGATGTTTCACCTCGGCAGAAGCATCAACCTTGTCAGGCAGCAAAGGAAAAATGTCATCCAAAATGGGAATAGGGGAGCTTGCACAAGGAGCCGGTGCCTGAGGGGCCTCGTCAGTGCAGGTCTCCCCGGACTCGCGCGATAGTCAGGAAGCAGAAGCTGCAGGGCATTCAAACTGGGGGTGAGGCTTCTCGCAGCGCATGCACAAGTGAAGACCGAAGCGACAAGCTTTGCCAGCCTCAGCATGGCTGCACCCCCTGTCTTTGATGTTGTATGCCCAACAAAGTCGCTTGCCTTTCGAAGTCTTCTTCTTAAGGTTCGGAATGTTCTTGAGGGCTTCAGGAAGCTGGGGCTCTTTTCGAGGCTGGCCTTCAGAGTCCCTCTTGATACCCTTATCAAGGCCCTTACCATTGCCCTTATCCGGATTCGAGATCTTCTGAGGAGGGTCAGGCGACCTCAAAGGAAGAAGGTTGAACAGGACAGCAGGGTCAGTGCGAAGACCCGGGAAGGCAGCATCAAGAGGCAACACGCCGGCACTATCCCTCTTAAGCGTCTTAACCGACTCAGCCAACTGAACCCAAGCTTGACGATCAGCCCTCAACAATTGCTCCATGGAGACTTTGCTGCACCTCGGAGGGGGAGGTTGAGCCATGCCGCGCGCAATTCGTGCGGGCGCGGGGCATCATACCCTTTCTTTTTGCGGTTGAGCCACTGAAGCCCTGCTTGGAACGAATGAAAGAGGCAATCGCCATCCCGCGGTTGAGAAAGCAGAGTCAGGCCCTGCGGTGTCTGGCGAATCGTTGTCCGCTGTCGTTTGGCGTTCGGCGGAGGCTCTTTGCCATCTGTCTGCATCGAATCTTTTGCAGGATCCTGAGAGTCAGGGATGGCAGTGGAAGCGGCAACCGGGTCAAGGATGCTTTTGCTGTCAAAGAAAGGGACAGCACCTGCCTTGATCTGCCTCTGCTTGTATTCGACCTGCCTCGGGGGAGCGACCTTCGCCCACAGGGTGAAAGGCTGGGCTTTGTCTCCTTCCTGAATGAATTTGCACGGTGATGGGCACCAAGTCGGCATCTGCTCCCCTCTTGCAGGCGCCACGAAAGACAAAGTTTTTCCAACCTTTCCGCTGCAGCTGCCTGAACATGCACACCTCGTTGAAATGCTCGGCAAGCAATTGGGAGACCTGCTGCATGTCCCACTCCCGCGGGGCGTGCTCAAGGACCCAGACTTTTTTAACGATGGAGCTGGCATTTGCGGGTCGACGCCACCCCAACGATTTCTCTCGGCACGCGAGTCCGAGGTCGCCTCTGGTGCGGTTGACACGGGTCAGATAGTCCATGTCAGGCTCGTTTTTGGTGAGCCGTGGCGCCCACTCAACATGTTGATTCTTCGCACTATCCTTAGGGAGCTGAAAGAAAATCCCTTGTTCCCCTGAGAGCGCAATCAAAACCGACAAGTCGGCCTGAGCGACCCGAAGGATGCCGAAGACCTGCTTGCACCCAGATTTGGTAACTTCCTCAGCCCAACCAAAACAGTCGTTGCACAACACATGATGCTGGGCAGTGTATAATGCAATCTGCTTCTGCGGCTTTTCAATGAAACCCTTCCACATGGCAGCGGAAGTGAAGGCCTGAAGCACTTTGCAAAACACAACCGTGGTGGCCTTTGGCGCGATTTTTAGAGGCGCCGCCGACGTCCCAACGGGTTGCGGCGGGGCTTGGCCTGGCGAATGCACCTTGTAGACTAGAGCTTCGGCCGAACGCAACATCAGACCTGCCTGCCCCGGTACTTGCTCGCGCGCAGCTCCAGTGGCTTTGGCATCAACGTTGGCAGCATGTTTGGCCAACACAATGACAAGGAAAGCATGCTTTTTGGCGGTGCCCGCAAACAGCGAAGACGCAATTTTTGCTTCATGATGGGTACAGAGCACAACGCCTCTGCACACCTGATCCTGTTTTGTGTCGTCAAGCTTCTTTGCCAAGCTCGAAAATGAAATGAGCGGATCGCTCCAATCTTGCTGCCGAAGCTTGAAATCCTCGGCATCGGGCGGAACCTTCTTCCGTTGCACCTTTGTCCACCCCTGATCGGCATTGGTTGACTTTCCTTTAGCTTTGCCTTTGGGAGCGGCTGTCGAGGCCGACTGCGGCAGCACTGGCGGGGCAGATGGCGCAACCACGGCGCCGGCACCTTTGCCCTTCTTGCGTGGAGGAGTTGGCACTGACGGTGGGATCACTGCTTGAGTGGCGGCGCTCGAAGCGTTAGGAGCAGCGGGTCCAACAGCAGCAGGGGCACCGTGCAGCGAACCCAAACCTAACAACCCGCCAAGCTGAAGTCCTTTCAAAGCTTCACGTAACGCCTGCTGCACGGCTTCCTGTATGAAGGCCTGGAGCTGCGCTGCAAAGTTGGGGCCAAAGTCCAGACCGATCTGAGGCGTCGGCCCAGGATGCGACGCTTCGCCTATGCGCTGGCCAACGTGTGCATCACGATTGCGGGTTTTGGCAGGGCTCGTGAACCTTGCTGCAAGCATGAAGATGCGTCCGTGCTTCACGTCGTTCTGGCGACGGCGTTTGAAGCTCTCAAGGCTGCCATCAACGATGACACCTGCGGGATCGCAAAGTCTGACTGGGTCCTGCAGACCGAACTCGATCTCGAAGGCACGCAAAGGCGAAACAGTGTAGTTGCGACAGTCACCCCAAGCGCTTGTGAGCATGGAGATGCGTCCATGCTTCACTTCGGTCTGGCGGCGGCGCTTGAAGCTCTCAACACTGCCATCGGCAGCGCAACCTGCGAGATCGCAAAAACTGACTGGGTCCTGCACACCGAAAGCGATCTGGCCAGCATGCAAAGGCGATGCAGTGTAGTTGGAGAAATCATCCCAAAAGCCTGCAGGCATGGAGATGCGTCCGTGCTGCATTTCGGTCTGACGGCGGCGCTTGAAAACCTCAACGCTGCCATCGGCACTGAAACCTGCGGGATCCCAAAAGTAGTAGTAGGGTCGTGTCAGAACGGATGAACTGCGGTACATCCGCTCACAGGACGACGTGAGTTAGCCAATTCCTTGGCGAGGAAAACTGGCAGGAGCACGGGTGGACCAGCTCGAAGAAGAAAACGTAGTAGGGCCTGTTACAGGCGCCGCCGAAGCTTTGCCCCTGAGGCGACGAAAACTTGTGGTAGCAGCGGCCGCTGAAGACGAAGAAGAAGCCACCGAAGAGCTAGCTGCTGCTGCCGCCGAAAATTGGGTTCTGGGACAGCGAAAACTTGTAGAAACCGTGGCCGCCGAAGACGAAGAAGAAGCGCTGCCAGTAGACGGCTTTGTCTTAGACCGCAACCGTCGTGAAAACTTCGTAGCAAAAGAAGTAGAAACTGTAGTCGCTGAGGACACTGCAGGTGTCTTGAAGTTGACCCTCTTCCTTGGAGGCAGACACGAAGCGGAGGCAGGCTGCGCCGGCTCAGAAGCAAGTGAGTCGCGCTGCGGCACTGAATCAGCTTGAGCCACTGTCGAAGAGCCAGCACATGCATCCAGGCGCTGCACCCATGCAGGAACCGGCAAAGGCTCCTTCTGGGGCCTGCAAACTGTTTTAGGGAGGTTTTGCACCCTAAACTTCCAAGCGAACTCCCGCCGGCAAGCTCGGCACCACAAGAGACCGAAGGACTCTGGCTTGTTCTTGTCCTTTCCAGTCAAACGATTCCAAACCAAATCATGCTTCGCAACATTGTACTTTTGGTTCAAGATTCGTTCTTGCTCATCCAGTCTAGCTCTGTTGTGAACTTTGCCAGGCGCGTCAGCCCAAAATTCAGGAGCAAGGTCCTTGTGAGGGCAAACTGATTTCAGGATCTTCAGCTTGACGTGCTCCAACCTGGAGGTGGTTGCACCGCATTTGACACAGTAAGCACTGCCTCCAAAATAACGGATGCGATGGCCTCGCTGCTCGCGGTCAACAGGGATTGGAGGACCGTCAACCGCATCTGGAGCTGGCATCGAAGTGTCAGAGGGGCCAGGTGGGGAGTTCACCCCGCTGCGCCGTTGCTGGTAACCACCATCGTCATCGTCAGGGGGCCCCGTATCATCAACTTCTCCATCGTGCCATTCTTGGATGTGCTTTTGCCAAATGTCGATGAGGACTCTGTGAATCAGCTTGATCTCCTTGATCGAAAACGTCATGTCGACGGTGGGGATCGCCGCATACTGAAAGCACGGAGGGCATCTCAAGATCCGAGGCAAAAGGCGACGGATAGGAGCCCGTTGCTGAGCATAGAGCTTGCAGTGCCAGTGGATGTGTTCGACTTCGCTCGGGACACCGCACTTTTGACAGATTACATCCTGCCGAAAACGATGCCTGCCATCACGAGAAGGAGTCATCAAACCTCCGGTCAAAATGTAAATCATGATCTTGCTGCGTGGACGAGGGTCTTGTTGAAGCCACGGTCCAGACGCACCTGTGTCCAAAAGCTTCTGGTAACCATCCGACTGAAAATGAAGGTCGCGCAGGAAGGCAGTGGCAAGCTGACGATTGGCCTGCTGAATGCCTTGGAAGCAAGCTCTAGCATGCACAATCTTGTTCCACTGCGCCTGACGCCATCTCTCCCGAAGAGAATGTTCCCAAGAGCGGTCAGCCGAACCATTCTGCAAAACAAAGAGCACTGCAGGCCGGAAAACAGGATCCGCGTGAAGTTGTTGAGCACGACTGAGCGGACCCTTTTGAGCGGCCGTCACTCCGTGCAGATGCAGATTCAGAAAGCGCCGCTTCGCGTTGTTGGCACAAAACCGCTGCAAGACTCGCAAAGCTGCAAATTGAATGGCGAACAAAGGCTCCAGAGTTGGCATAACCACAACAGTAAACAGAACCATGGGGGTCAAGCTGTAGTACTGAATGCGAAGAAGAGACCTGGTCATGGTCGCCTGCAAAGTAACTATGCGAGACTTCGGAATGAACAAATCATGCGTGCCCTGGCCCCATGTGAGACGGCTGAGAAGCTGCTGCTGTGCTTTGAGACGATCATGCCATCCAAGAGGAAGCTTGCTACAGGCTATCGCTGAGCCCATCCAGCTGTCAACCCTCTTCTGCATCAAGGGCGTCCAAGAAGAGGAGGCTCCACAAGTGATGCTTCCTCCTACCAGTCGAAAAACATCTTTGTGGTGCTGTATATCAGAAATACAGCCTGAAACTTCGGCGGCGCCGTAAGTAAAGCACTTGCCAGGATTTAGCTTGCTGCCGCTGAAGTGTGCAAACTGTTGCACTGTGCTGTGCGTGTCGCGCAAAACCGCCCGCAAAGCCTGCAGGTCAGAGGCAATTGCTGTAGCACTGATGTCATCGACGTAGACCCGAGGAGCCACGCGAGCTGGCCTGCGAACCTGGGTAAAGCGACCCTGCGTCAACCGCTCCAACCAACAGGCCACCAGGCTGGCGAGAAGGAAGTTACTGAGAGGGTCGCCCTGGACAATGCCATTGGCCGGCTGGTAGGCGGTGCCAAAAGCTGTGCCCAGTTTGAAGTGCTTGCAGTGGGCTTTGTAGAAACCTCGCAGGCCTTGAATCACAGACAGTGGAGCACCTCTGTAAAGAAACACGTCGATTGCCATGCTCGGAATAATGTGGTCGTAGCACTTAGCAAAATCATAACTGAGACCACCAGACCACTCTCCCATGAGATCAGCTTCTTCGAGGAGCGCCGAAACGTTGACCGCCATGTCATCGGCGCCCTGTCCGGCACGTAAAGCATATATCTCGTCGGGAAGAACTTTGGTGATCCAATCCTTGATTTGCAAGCAGCGCGCCCGGCTCCACAAACGATAAAGTGCACTGAGAACAGTGATTGGACGAAAGTTGTAAACATCTTCAATCTGTCCTTGTGAATTGACTTCCTTTGCAAGCATGGAAACGTAGCCCGTGGTCCAAGTAGAAGGCCACGTGGCCTGCTGTTCGCAAACTTGCATCAACTGAGCCAAAAAGGAAAAGAGATCCGGACATGCCTGGCCCAACAGCCGCAAGTCCTGAGGCTGCCAACCGTCTAGCCCAGCACTGCTGTTCTTAGTGTTCCGAAGCGTGGTTAAAAGAGTGTCCTTTGTAAGAGGCTGCAGGTCGAAGCTTTCCTTGCGAATGTAAGGCCCATAATGCTGCAAAAACTGCCAAGTGCTAGGGCAACTGTGCCGATGCTTGCCAAAAATCTTGTCCCATGCGGCAGTGAGTGCCTGAAGCTGCCTGGTGGGGTCAATGGTGTAGGAGCCACCGACCTTCATGACAACAGCAGAGTAGTGCCGGTGTTCACTGAGATGTGGGTTGTTCACCTGAAGCTCATGTGTCTTTCTCCAGGACGAAGCCTTGCTTTGACAACTACGCATGGTTTGCTTCCAAAGCTTCAGACGAAAACTCTGCCTTTCAGCTTGCAAAAACTGCATAGCGGCCTGAAGGAGATGCATCACTTTCCTCGCCACGTCATGACAAGGCCGATCCTGCAAAAGCGTCATCAGCTCGCTTTGCCACTGAGAAGGGCAGACTGGCAGAATAGATTGCAAATTCCGCCACGTGCGGTCAGCCCGAGTGCCAGGCCCACACTTGCAAACCTCAGAAGCTTGCCGAAACGCTCGACCAAGTCGCCGAAGTTGAAGACAGTCGGCATGTTCGCGCTGAGACCTCGGAAGCTCACGCGTTGAATCGAATTGAATCTTACCGCGAGGCTGCCCCAAGCGCAAGGAGGAGCCAACTTGCTGAGCATGAAGGTGCAAAAGCGCTTGTTCTGCAACACGAGACCAGATGGAGGCCGCGGCGTCCACGTCCTTGTTGCGCAAAGCGACGTGAAACTCCGGGGGCATTGCGCATGCAAAAGGGTGCGCTGGTGCCACCAAATGCCCAAAAGCACAGGCCTTTCTGGGAGTGAATCGCGGAGACGCTTGCGTAGGGCAGCGAAGAGCCATTTCCAAAAAGGAGTGCCCTTTGTCGGTGAACGGATTACCCTGCAGTGAAAAACTAAGGCAAAGAGATCTCGCACTGGATGAGCACCAAATGTGATCAATACGTGATCCCGAGCCCTTGTGGCAGGTGTGCAGTTTGGGACCCCTGCTCAGATCGGCCACATCATGCCAAGTAGTGGCCAACAAGGATTGCATATAGGTGTTTGCCTCACTTTCGGCATTGAAATCCCCAACCAAAATGGCCGGTAAAGCGCGTGAAACGGCATCTTCTGAAACGCGCTGCAACATCTGCCGCAAAGTTCGCTTGGCTGAAGAAGATTCTCTGGCGCCTGCAGGGCCATACATGTTGTACAGCACAAAGACACTGTTGTCATGCAGATAGAAAAGAGCCGCCTGAAGACGGCCAGTGGCCCAAAAGGAGTGACAAGGATGATCCGAAGGCCAAGAGATTGAAGAGACTTTGGCAAACCTGGCCGCTTTGACCACAATGCCAACACCGCATCTTGAGCTCCCAGTAACCGGTGAACCCCACAAACAGTGTAAGGAAGTAGAACTGGTGAAAAATTGCTGTTTCGCCATCGACAAATGTGTCTCTTGAAGACAAAGAATGTCATAGCTGTAGCTCAAAAGAGTGTCCCAACGGCCAGCCGCTGTAAGGCCATCCGAGTTGAATGAAGCCAACCAGCACGTAGAAAACGAAGGAGCTCCGGGCGTATTGCCATGCAGAGCACGAAGTGCGTGAGACCGCTGTGCACGAAGAACCTCCTCCCAGCAGCGCTTGACGAGGCCAGGGAAGAAAAGATCAGTAACCATAGCGCAATCAAGTGTTGCGCTGTCTCTGCGCTTCGGGCGTTTCGCCCGAGTGCTGCGGCGGGCGCTTGTCGCGCGGAGTGGCAACCAACTTGTAAAAGTCCTGCTGCTGTCTGCCGAGCTCAGTGACCACTGACAAGGTGGTAGCATCGGTCTGCATAGAAGCACTTCCGGAGGCCTGCTTGCTTGCAGCGAGCTTTCTGGCAACGGCATTGACCGCCTTGAAGATGATCTGAGAGGCATGTCCTGTGCCCATCGAAAGCTGCACAAGGGCATCATTGCCACAGTTGGTAGAAAGAAAGCTGAGGCTTTTCTGATCAAAGTGCTCGATAGCATGGACCTGCCACTTCTGGTCAACCAAGAATTGGTGTGCACCTGGCATGCCAGCCGTGATGGGCACCCCATAAACCTTCCAGCGACCAAGGGCTGAGGTGTCTTCCAAAGCATGTTTTTTGCAGAAGAACTGTAGCTGCTCTGTAGTGGCGAACCGGGCCGCGAACCGATGTGGAGGGCGTCTGCGTTTGCAGACGATGCCCAGGTGATCACAGCCGTCCAGCATGGCTCGAGCTCGCTCGACGGAGGTTGACTCTGGCAACCAAACAAGCACAGGCTCTTGCAAACTGAAGTCTGAAAGACTGCTGGCATGCACCTTGAAGAAAGTGCCGTGCGCTCCACTGGTTCGCAGAATCTGCTGAACAAAGTGTTCGTGTGCAAGGAAAGTAGAAGATATATCAGCACGAATCTGCACTTCACTGATGGACAGCATGGGGATTTGCTGCATCTCCAAAACCCTGGTGACATGCGATGCCTTGGCCTGCGATGGCCACCCAAACTCTTCCGGTTGCTTACAAACCATGCGTAACATCGTCTGGGCAATGGTGACCTTGGGGCCCTGCGCAATCCTCTTGACAGGAACAGCAAAGCCGAGCTGCACACACCAACGAGAAACTCTAATCTCTCTCTTGTCCGCCCCTTCATGCAGCAAAATGGTGCATTCAACTTGCGCATGAGGATACGAGCCAAGTCCCAAAGACCCCGGCGACTGCGTGATAAGAATCGCCGTGGGTTGAGCCGTGAAGCCAACCGTCCTGATGACACTGGGAATTGCTGCCTTAGGCACCAAGGAGATGCCACCCTGGGCTGACAATTGCGGATAGGAAAGCACTGGGGCATCCCATTCCGCTGAAAGCAAAGTGGGCAAACCTCGCAAGTGAGCCTCCACGGGCATTGAATCGCGGATGGCTTGCACCAACATAGCGTCGCCACCATCATCGCCAAAGTCAGGCACATCAGCTTGTGGAAGAAAAGGAGTGACGAACTGAGCATCGGAAGACTGGCTGTAGCTGGCTTGCTTCGACTTGCCTTTGGCACCTTTGGTGCCCTTTGCACCTTTGGCTCCACCTTTCCCATTGCCATTAAGTGCATGAGCAATCTGATTGCGCAACTTGCGGAGTGCTGCCCAAACATAGCAGAAAATTTTGCAAACAAGCGTCCACATCGTGAAAAGGTCATCCTGTGTTGTGTCATTCAGACATGTCGTGCACTGTCTCGCCATCACTCCACTACTCACCTCCGGTATGCACGCACGGTGGAGTGATATAGGCGCCGGAGAACCTGCGGGATCCCAAAAGGTGACTGGGTCCTGCACACCGAGCTCAATCTCGAAGGCACGCAAAAGCAACGCAGTGTAGTTGCACCAGTCACCCCGGGCGCTTGCAAGCATGGCGGTCTGGCGACGACTCTTGAAACTTTCAAAACTGCTATTGGCAGTGAAATCTGCACACATGGAGATGCATCCGTGCTTCACGTCGGTCTGGCGGCAGCGACTGAAGCTCTCAACGCTGCCATCAAGGATGACACCTGCGGGATCGCAAAGTCTGACTGGGTCCTGCAAATCGAACTCGATTTCGAAGGCACGCAAAGGCGATGCAGTGTAGTTGGAACAGTCACCCCGAGCGATTGCAAACAGGGACATGCGTCCGTGCTTGATTTCGGTCTGGCGGCGGCGCTTGAAGCTCACAACGCTGCCATCGGCAATAAGACGGCACTTGAAGCTTTCAACACTGCCATCGGCGATGAAACCTGCAGAATCCCAAGGTCGGACTGGGTCCTGTAAACCGAACTCGCTCTCGAAGGCACGCAAGGGCGATGCAGTGTAGTCGCCACAGTCACCACAGGCCCCTGCCCAGACCCCCATTCTCGGCTCGAGAATGGGGGTCTGGAAAATGCTGGTTTTGGCAGCCCCGCAGCACCGGCGGCGCTTGGAGCTCTCAACCCTGCCATCGGCACTGAAACGGCGCTTGAAGCTTACAACGCTGCCATCGGCACTGAAACCTGCAAGCATGGAGGTGCATCCGTGCTTCACTTCGGTCTGACGGCGGCGCTTGAAGCTCTCAACGCTGCCATCGGCACTGACATCTGCGGGATCGCAAAATCTGACTGGGTCCTGCACACAGAAAGCGATCTCGCAAGCATGCAAAGGTGATGCAGTGTAGTTGCAACAGTCACCCCAGGCGCTTGTCTGGCGGCGGCGCTTGAAGCTCTCAACGCTGCCATCGGCACTGACATCTGCGGGATCGCAAAATCTGACTGGGTCCTGCACACCTAAAGCGATCTCGCAAGCATGCAAAGGTGATGCAGTGTAGTTGCAACAGTCACCCCAGGCGCTTATCTGGCGGCGGCGCTTGAAGCTCTCAACGCTGCCATCGGCACTGACATCTGCGGGATCGCAAAATCTGACTGGGTCCTGCACACCTAAAGCGATCTCGCAAGCATGCAAAGGTGATGCAGTGTAGTTGCAAAAGTCACCCCAGGCGCTTGTCTGGCGGCGGCGCTTGAAGCTCTCAACGCTGCCATCGGCACTGACATCTGCGGGATCGCAAAATCTGACTGGGTCCTGCACACCTAAAGCGATCTCGCAAGCATGCAAAAGCGATGCAGTGTAGTTGCAACAGTCACCCCAGGCGCTTGTGCTCTTGGAGGTGGGTCCGTGCTCTACTGCGGTCTGGCGGCGGCGCTTGAAACTCTCAACGCTGCCATCGGCACTGAAACCTGCAAGCAAGGAGATGCATCCGTGCTTCACTTCGGTCTGACGGCGGCGCTTGAAACTCTCATTGCTGCCATCATTGCAACCTGCGGGATCGCAAAATCTGACTGGGTCCTGCACACCGAGCTCAATCTCAAAGGCACATAAAGACGATGCAGTGAAAATGGAACAATCACCCCGAGCGCTTGCAAGCATGGCGATGCGTCCGTGCTTCACTTCGGTCTGAGGGCGGCGCTTGAAGCTATCAACGGTTCCATCGGCGATGAAACCTGCAGGATCGCAAAATCTGACTGGGTCCTGCACACCGAAATCGATTTTACCAGCATGCAAAGACGATGCACCATAGTTGGGACAATCACCCCAGGCACTTACAAGCATGGGGATGCGTCCGTGTTTCACTTCGGTCTGACAGCGGCGCTTGAAGCTCTCAACACTGCCATCGTCAGTAAATCCTGCGGGATCGCAAAATCTGACTGGAACCTGCACACCGAACTCGATCTCAAAAACATGCAAAAACGATGCAGTGTAGTTGGGACAGTCATTCCAGGCGCTTGCAAGCATGGAGATGCGTCCGTGCTTCACTACGGTCTGGCGGCGGCGCTTGAAACTCTCAACGCTGTCATCGGCGAAAAACCCAGCGGGATCCCAAAATCTGACTGGGTCCTGCACCCCGAAAGACGAAGCAGTGTAGTTGGAACAGTCACCCCAGGTGCTTGCTAGCAAGGAGATGAGATCGTGCTTCACTTCAGAGTCAGAACCGATCTCAGGCGCCGGCCCAGGATGCGATGCCTCACCTATGCGTTGGCCAACATGTGCATCATGATTGCGGGTTTTGGCCGGGCACAAGAAACAAAGGCAGCTGCACAAGTCCAACGATAGCCACCGCGCATACGGTACGGCACTAGGGTCGAAAAGAGGCCTAAACCTTAGGGGGGAAAGGGAAACCGACTTCTCGTCATCGGCTTCCTTGCAGCAGCTTCCTTCCACAAAAGGCCTTTGCCTAACGACACACCCGCACAGAGAAGGCCTAAACCCGGGAAGGGGA